TTCCCTCCCTGTGCCCTTTCCTTCCCCTCCCTCCCTTCCTTCCCACACACTTTAAAATATACCCTGGGCTGTTTCATAAAATGAATAAAGAACAAGTCTCTACCCTCAAGGAGTTCACAGTTTCAAAAAGGAGGAAGACATGTAGACATGAATTTTGGAGCAGTGTGAAATGCTATAAGGTAGAGATTCATTCATCTGAAGAATACTTATTGAACACCTATGATGACCAGGGCAGGACCAAGTGCGGTGAGTGCTTGCAGAAGGGAAGCCAAGGAGGCCCGCACAGAAGGTCCCAGCCTCCTGTTCTCTTCCTCTACCCACTCATGCCTCCCTTGGTGTGAGGACCTCCATCTCCAGACTTATGTACTCTGACCTGTTTAATCCAGCTGACAGCTGGATTTTGCTCTTGGATGCTCCATGAGCACTCAGCATACCTCAAACTGAACTTATAATTTCCCCGCCATTCCCTCTTTTTCCTAAAACTCAACTTCTCTAGAGCCCACTGTCCACCCAGGCATCCAAACCAGACGCCTGAATGTCTCTTCGGCCTTTCTGTTCCTCTTACTCCCTCACCTCACATCTAGTCAGTCTCTCTATCCTATTAGTTCTCTCTTCAGTACTTCTCTAGGTGACCCCTTTCCAGTCATTCTTTTTGAAGCCTCCCGGTCCAGGTCCTCATCACCTCTCACCGGGACCCCCACAGCCTCCCCCTCCCGTTTTCTTGTGGCTGAAGAACAATATGCTTTGAAATCAGACAGACCAGGTTAAAATCCTAGTGCCACCATTGTAGGACCTGTGTGGCCCTTTCCAGGCCCCAGTGTCCCTGCCTATAGAATGACACCTCTAATACGGGCCTTGTTGTACAGATTAAATGAGATGTAGCAGTTAGGCGGGTGATTCACCAGCAGTGCTGAATGAAAGCAAGCAGACGCAGAGGAATGCACTCATGTGATTCTGTATAGGTAAAAAGCATTCAAATGATTTGTAGAGGTGCAGACTGGGCAGAGCTGAACTGTAGTGGTGAGGGCTGCAAACAAGGAGACAATACTGAGGAAAGCAAGGGGATGACTGCATCAAAAGCCAAGGTGGTGATTACAGGGCCAGTGGAGTGTGATCGGGAGGGGACACGTATAAGTGGCTTCTGGGATACTGGCAAGGTTCTTTTTACTCAACTGAATGGTAGTTACAAAGGTGTTCTTTGATAACATTTAAATTTAGTTCTTATAATTTTTATAATAATTACATTATACATACGTGCTTTACTTCATCATTTAAAATATTTTAAAAATTCGACAAGAGTTTCTATGTAAAGTGCTTAATCCAGCACTCAGCACAGGAAAAGGTCAGGAGACCGTGGTTGCCTGTTCTGATTGTTTGTCTTGTTTGCCTGCCTCCCTCTCCAGGCACCAGACCCCGGGGTGATTTACCCCATCCTCCTTGGGGCTCACCCAGAGCTCCGCACCTGCAAGCCTCGGGAGGGTGGGAGGAGTCGAGGCCACCAGACGGTAACCACATGTTTCTGTCTTTTGGATTGGCCAGGGAACGTGGCTGGGGCTGTGACTCTCACAGTCAGGCCTGCTCCGGAAAGAGCACCAGCTGTCCCTCGCAGGCTGCCCCAGCCCTCTGATGATGGCCGGGAGGGAGGAGCACGATGATGAGGAAGCCTGGCTGCAGCTTCGGCCTGTGGAGCCCTTGCCCTCCCAGTGCTGTGGCAGTGGCTGCTCCCCCTGTGTGTTTGACCTCTATAACCAAGACCTGGCGAGGTGGGAGGCAGCCCAAGCCAGCAAGGACAGAAGCCTGCTAAGAGGCAAGGAGTCCCAGGTAAGAGACTTCTCAGACAAGAGTGGCAGCATCTATCTGGCTTCAGCCCTGTGCAGTGTACCTGCTCGGGGAAGCTTCCCCTGACTCTGTACAGCAGAGGAAAGAGTGTGCTTAGTGGAAGTAGACAGATCCAGGTTCAAAGCCTGGCCCTGAGCTGGGTATGTGGGGCACTTCCAGGAGTGAACTGGGTGTGGGCATTTTACAGGAGAGAGATTCATGAGTTATGGCACTCAGAGAAGACTTCCTGGAGGAGGTGCAGGTGGGGTGGAATGTCAAGGGCTGTGGGCTGAGACTTAGAAGACATGGCTTTGAGTCCCTGCTCATGGTGTGACCTTGGATAAGTAAGTCACTACCACCCAGGCCTCAGTTTTCCCACATGTAAAATAAGGATATTAGGTTAGATAATCTTTATGGGCTCATCAATTTTTAAATTTTGCAAATATGGATTTTAGCAGGTTTGAAAGATGGGTGGGTCATTCATACATTGCAGATGAGTGTTCTGGACAGAGGGCCTAGCTTAGGCAAATAAAGGGTCACAGGGAGGAGGCAGCAGGGTGTTCTTGGGAGAATGGAGAAGAGTCTGGCATCTGACACATGGGAGGTAAAATGAGGCCTGAGGGTCATCCACAGGGCTCTGGAGTGTCCAGCTAAGAGTCCTGCACTTTATCCTGGGCAGAGGGGAGCCATGGAAGGCTTAAGAGTAGGGTAGAGCACAGTGTAAAGTGCTCTGGCATTCTTAGATCAGAGCATGAAAGGGAAGATGGGACTACTCTCTATTATAAGAAAAAACTCACCAGCGGGATAGCCTCTCCTTGGAGAAAGTGAGTGGATGCTGTGGATGCCTGCATGCTTCTTGAGCCCCAGCTTCTAGCTGTTGGCTATTTTCCTGTTGCAGAGCCACCCCTCCAAACTGAGCCCAGAGATGTTCCTGGCTTTCCGCATCAGTGCCATGGACAAACTCACTGAGGACACCTACTGTGTCCGGTTTGCACTACCCGGGAACAGCCAACTCGGCCTGCGGCCTGGCCAGCACCTTGTCCTACGGTACACTCAGGTAGTGGGAGGATCAGAGCTTTGCAGCCCTGCTTTGCCATTTGCTAGCTGTGTGGCCTAGGACAGCTGCTTAACCCCCTACTAGCCATCTCAAAATAGACATAGTAATACATTACTCAGAGGGTTCTTGGGATTGAACTAGAGAATACATTTTCATAATTAATTAGAATAACAGCAAACACTTTTATAGCACATACTATCCAAGCCCGAGTTCTGTGTGAGTGTGCATATGAACTCATTTAATTCTCACAAAATCCTGAGTGCTAGGTACCACTATCAGACCTGAGAAGAAACTGAAGCCAGAGGTTCTGTGACTTGCCCAAGGTCACACAGTCAGGAAATGTTGGAGCCAGGATTTGAAGGCAGGCAATGTGGCTCTAGAACCTGTGGTATTAACCTAATATGATTAGCACCAGTTGATAGAAAGGGCACTGTCATTGAGAACTTGCCCAGTATCACACAGCTAGTAAGTCATGCAGTCAGGATTTGAACTCAGACAGCCCAGCTCCTGAGTTATACTCTTAACCACTCCTCTGAAATTCCTTCTTCCTCCCAGCCCTCTTGTGTACTGTCCTTCTGCCTCTGTCCCCACCTTCACCTGCCCAGGGACAAGATCCTTTGGGACCTCCAGATGGAGGCTTCTGCCAGGCAGTCAACTCTGTGGGGATGAAGCCTAGCAAAGAGACCTGAGCTGCGGACATGGATATGGGATCATTGGCATCTATCTGGACAACACTTGGGAAGGGCGGGGAATCAAACCCTGGCTGCTCGAGCATTTATGGTATTGGCAAGAGGAAGAGCCAGCAAAGGAGACAGAAGGTGTAGCAAGAGGACGAGGAAAACCAGGAGAGGGCATATTACTGGTCACACTCTGGCCACTTGCCTTGCACTGACCCCTGGTGTTTGTGCCCAGCTCAGTCTGGCTGTGACCTGGCTGGCTATCCTTTAAGCTCGCCATTCCAATGGATGAGAGGGGCCAGAGGGCAGATCACAGCCCCATGCAACCAATCACCCATAAATCAGGAACTCCCTCACTTCCTCTACCCTCTCTGCCACTCTAGTGACATTCCTAACACATGCAGCTGACCATGTCACTCCCTGTTGCAACACCTTCTGTGCTCTGTGATGCCTCCACAATGACTTCCTAATCCAGGCTCCCAGCTTCCTTTCCCACCAAGTTCTTCTCCCTCCCCCTGCTGCATATGCACCCCTTGTTCCAGCCTCCTGATCCACTCACCAGTTCCTGCCCTACCTTATCCTACCTCTCAGCTTTTGCCCAGGCTATTCCCCTGCCTGGAATTACTTCCCTTCCTGTCCCCATTCTTACCTGTCAGTGGCCTGCTAATCCTTTAAATTGCAGCTTGAGGAGGCCTCCTGAGGTTCCTGGTGCCCCCAGTGAGAGTGGTTGCTCCCTTTGTAGCATGTCAGTTTTGCCTCTGTTGTAGCAAATGTCACTGTGCTGTTTGCATCCCAGCCACATCATGTGTTCTGTTTGTTATTTCCTCATTTGTTCCACAAGCATTTATTGAATATTTCTGTTCAGCTCCCCAGCTTTTGATGTATTAGGACAGGGCCTTTCTAAAAAATCTTTGCATACATTATAGGACTCTAGAAAGGAGCGCTTGGGTACTTCCAGGAAGCTCTGAGGAGTAGTGGTGAGGAACTTGGTTCTGCAGTCAGAGCTACGGTGAATTCTAGCTGTGTGACCTTGGGCAAGTGGCTTTCCTTCTCTAAGCCGTGGGTTTTTCATTTGGGTGGTTATTTGAATTAAATAAGATAATGCATATAACATGCTTGGTGTATAGTAGGCATGTAAGACAACAAGGTTGCTATTATCATGATGATCATCCTGCCCCCTGTTGACAACATTGTGGAGAGGATTTATGCATGGGGTCTGGCTTTGGGCTAGGGCACTTTGAGGATCCTTCCAATTCTGATGATCCTGGCACATGGTGGTAAGTGTTTAATAAACAACTTGTTAAAAACAGTTGTTTTTATGATTTTGTGGTTGAGAAGAGGTCAGGAAAAACCCACAGTGATGTCCTAAAAACAGCTCACATCATTAATGTACTCTGGAAGCACTTGCCCATCTGTAATCCCAGTGGAACTGCACAACAGGGACAAAGATGGTTGGCCCCATTTTATAAAAGGGGCAACCGAGGTACTAATGACCTGCCTGGGAACTCAGCTCTTTTTACACTTTTGCATTTTTTAATCCTCACCTGAGGACATGCTAAGAAAGAGGGAAAGAGAAAGGGAGAGAGAGAAACATTGATTGGTTGCCTTCTGTATGTGCCCCACCCAGGGATCAAACCCACAGCTTGGGTATGTGCCCTGACCAGGAATCGATCTGGCAACCTTTCGGTATACAGGACTATGCTCAACCAGCTGAACCACTCTGGCCACATTCAGTGATCTTTTTTCCTGCTCCCACTTGCTTGCCCCTTAGTGAGCATCACTGGGGATGACCAGGCCCCACCTTCACTTTCACCAGCTGGCAGAATGGATACGTATATGGGTTTGTTGAATGACTGCCTGCCTGCCTGACTGAGTGCTTCTCTTTCCCAGGGGGATAGTAGATGGCTTAGAAATTCAGAGAGCCTACACACCCATCAGCCCTGCCAATGCAGAAGGATACTTTGAGGTTTTAATCAAGGTGAGCTGACTTACATGGACAACGCATTGAGATGCTGTGGACTGGAGCCCCCATTCGCTCTCTTGGTTGGGGTGGGGCAGTTCCCACCAATGTGGGAAAAGCCAGTGTTCACGTGGAAGGATGCTGGCTCGAGGGAAGAGTGGGGACAGTGAAGAAGGCCCTCTCCCATCTCCTTTCCTGGTGAAGGGGGCTGCTCAACCACTGACAGAGGGCTTATTCCTGACAGATTTTTTGAAAAGGAGGCTCAGACTGAGCAAGTGAAAGCTGCTCCTTCTCATTTTCTTGCCTGTCGGAGATTGAGCACCGAGCCTGGGGGAAGGGGGACCCAGGCTGCACAGCAGTATTGCGTGCTGGGCACGGGGGTCCAGATGCATCTGGCGTGGAGCCTGTCCTCAGACAGGAGCAGCCGGAACAGTGCAGTGTGATAAACACCATGGCAGGAGGCCCCAGTCCCACTTAAGATGGCTGGAGCTGTGGGAAAGCAGGCTGGGACTCCCAGCAGAAGGTGCTTGTTTGAGCTGTATGTCTAAGTAAAGGAGTGGGCACCAGAGGGAAATGTGGGCGGAAGCTCTAAGTGCCGGGAACAGCATGTGTGATGGGGGACTGTTTATCCTTTGTCCTGGATCAGAAGGGGGCATGCAAGGAAAGGGTGGGATGCAGAGCGCCTTGTGGACGTCCCCTCGGGAAGGTGGGCAGGGTCAGGGTATTTGAGTTGGGTCTTAAAGGAGGAGTGGAAATCGGCAGGGGCAGGGAATGGCATCCAGGCCAAGGGGACGAATAAGCAAAGGCAGGGAAGGGTGGAACAGAACAGGGTCTTGTGGGAACTATTCCCAGTCTGAATGGCAGGAGGAAAGGTGCTTGTGGGGCACACAAGGTGGTGAGGGAGTTGGCAGAGCTAAGATGAATAAAGTGGGTTGGATACAAAGTACCCCAGAGGCCCAAAGAATAGGCACCAGATACATAAGAAGTCATGAAGGTCCAATTATGTGGAAAAAATAATTAGGTGGAACTACATGGAATTGCTGATTCTCTAATATTTTTGACTTACAGAGAGAAACAGCAGTTTCATATGGGTCAACCTAAAATATAGCTCTAGATCATTATTTCCCAAATGGAATCCTAGGGAACACCAGTGTTTAAGAATAGCTTTCACATCCCTTTATCTCCCCTGTAGGACAGGAATTATTATCCCCATTTCATTGATAAGAAAGCAGAGACCCCAGGAGAACCCGAAGCTCCACAGTTACTAAGAAGTGTGGCTGGTGGTGAGCCCTGGCCTCCTCACTCCAAGACCCCAGCAGCGTCTCTGGCTCCTACCTTCCCTGCCTGTCTTCAGAGCCTGAGTGTTTACTCCCTCACACATAAGCTTGGATGGGATCCCTTCTCTGCACAACTGTTTGTCTGGGAGATTCCACAAATCCTCTCCAAATGGCCTGCTTCCCCAAGCTGCTTGTCTGGGTGTGTTTCTGTTGAAAGGATAAGCCTGGAGACAGTTCTCTCCCAGCTGCAAGGCTGATTTGCTCCTTCATTTCCCGGAAAGCCTCTCTTTAGAGGGATGCTTAATTATCCCTGAGCCGCTGGCTAGGAAGATCTGGAAATGTCTTTGCAAATTGGGAAGGCAGACGGGTTTCTTAGGTTTACCCTCCCTTGTAGACGGGAAGGAGGAACTCCTATTTCTCAGGCACCTACCTTCTGGGAAAGGGGCACTGCCTCTGGCTCTTTATTTTCATTGTTTCGTTTCAACCTCATAAACACCCTACAGAGTAGATCATATTATCCCCATTTTATAGATGAAGAAGCTGATGCTCAGATATGTCATTGTCCCAAGGCTCCTTGGGTAGTATAATTTTCAGTGGAAGAACAAAAGTTCAGTGTCAGTCTTGTTTAACTGGTGTGTATTGAGTCAGGCTCTGTATGGGCTGTGCCTCCCCTGAGACCGGGGCCAGAAAACAAGGTGTGCTCTGAGCCACAGCCTCCAACAAGTTAGGAGAACTGTAGCCTCCCTCCCAGACCTCTTCCAGGGGAGCCGAGAACTTTCCTTGCTTTATTCATATGGGTCCACGGAAGTCAGGGATGGTGCCAGAGGTGGCTGTGGGTGACCAAAGTCTGGTTATAATCTCAAGCCTGGTTGTAATCTCATATCAAACACCCTTTCAGTCCTATTGTCCAGTGCTTCCCTCTCACCCCCACCCTACTGTGTCCACTTGCTGTTCCCAGCACATGACCTGGGCCATCCTACCCCTGACTATACCATACCTGACGCCCAGAATCCTCTCTGCCCTCTTCCTCCCATTCCCAGTGAATTCTATCTTAACCGGTCTTCAGGGTCCAGCTCAAATGCTTCCTCTGCCAGGAAGCTATCCTTGGTCCTGCTCCATTGGAAGTGACTGTACCTCCTTAGTGTTCTCCCAGCACTTTATTCTTCTCATGGAGCATTAGGTAGCCTCTACCTTGTGTATGTCTGAGACAGGTTCCTCTTAGACTGTGAGCTCCTTAAAGGGAGAGCCTACATCTGATTGACTGATTCGCTCATTCATTCATTCATTCATTCATTCATTCATTCATTCATATATTTATTAAGTCCTTTCCATGGTTCAGGCACTGGCTGCCTTCATGGAGCTTCAGGTCCAGCTGCCTCCCCTGCAGCCTCAGCATAGTGCCTGGCACAGAGTGGGCAGGCCCCCAGGAAATGTAGACTGCCCCCCCCCCCATGGAGGAATTTCCTCCACCTCCTTCATTTTTTTCATCCAGCCAGGAAACAGTGCTGGGTAATGCAGAGATTTCACATCAGTGGCCTACCCACTGACTCCAGCCAGCAAATGTATTTGATTTTGACCTGTATAGGGTTCTAAAATTTTGACTTAATTGCTGACATTTCAAAAATGGGAGATTTTACATAAAAATATGGATGTTTTGCTCCTATGGAAAATCAGAAGATGTAGCATCATCAGCCCCACAAACTATGTACTGGAATCTACAAAGTGGCTTCTTCCTTTAAAAGGAGCATTCACTCCCTAATTTGCCACAGTCCCCGCTGGTCCCTGCTGCCCTCTGAGACTGAGACTGAGTGTTGTCATCAATCATCTTATATCCAGTTCTTCACTTAGTTATGTTACCTGTATGGGCTCTGAGTTATTTGGGTTTGAGATCTCTGTAGTTAAAGCTGGAGGTCCTATGGATTCTCATCCAGCTTCACCATTTCCCTTCTGTCCAAGCTTCTGGGCCTCCTCTGAAAATTGGGAATGACAGTACCAATTTTGCGGGATGATTAGGAGGATTAAATGAGATAACACGTGAAAAGCACAGGGCATTGCAAAAAGGGCTCCACGGGAATGGCTGATGTGGTTTATATTGGCAGCATGTGCCTGTCCCAGTGAGGTTTCCCTGTGTTTGCTCCTAGTGTTACCAGATTGGGCTGATGTCCCAGTATGTTGAGTCCTTGAGAACAGGAGACATGGCTTTCTGGCGAGGACCTTTTGGAAACTTCTTCTATAAACCAAACCAGGTGAGTGCCAGCATACTGGGTCCTCAGGAGACCCCTCCTCCCAGTGCCCCAGTTTAGCCTCTGGGACTGCAGCTTCAGGTTGCTGAATCTCACTGTGCCGTTCTTCCTGAGCCCAACACAAGCCCTAGAGTATCCTTGGGGTTGGACATGGGAGGAGATGGAATAGGCACTAAGAAACAAACTTGCCTGCCCAGGCTCCAGAGCTGCCCTTTGCTTAGAAAACTCAGACTCATGCACTTGGTGTTTAAGGCCCCTATCCCATCTCACCGTCAGATATCTTTCCATATTCATATTCCAGTTGCAAGACTATAAAGACTGCCCCTAAATAAGTCCCATGACTCCCTGCCTTGGAGGCCACTGCTTCCAGCCTGGAATGCTCTCCTTATCTTCATGCTACGTTCAGAGCCTCCTGATGCTCCCAGGAGGAATTAGTAAGTTCTCATCAGTTGGTGCATATCTGGAAAGCAGTCCGGCAGTATGAAGAGTCTTAAGAATCTCCAACCCAGTAATTCCACTTCTGGAAGTCTGTCCTGTGGAAAGAATCCAAAATGCTGACTCTTGCACATGTTCATTGCAGCCTTACTTATGAAAGCAAGACATTGGAGATAGCTGAGTATTCAGCAGCAGGGGAGCAGTTAAGTACACTGGGTTACAGGTACTTAAAAGAATTATCCTGGATTTTTAAGTTATGTTTATAAATGATCTTATATGTTTATGTTATAAGATCAAGTGACAAACACTAGGTACAAAACTGAATAGACAACAGGCTGGGAAACTAAGTTAAAATGCACAGAAAAAAATATGAAAAGAAAATGCAATGAAATGATAGCAGCTCTGGGTGATGAAATAATGGGTGATTTTTATTTTCTTCATTATACTTTCCAAATTCCCCACGATGAACACCTATTGCCTTTATAATTAGGAAAACAAAGCAAAACAAAAGCAAGTGGAAAAGAATGAGCCATTCCTCTCCATTTTTTTTTGGTTAACTTAAAAATAGCTTTTATTGTTTTTTTCCCTTATTACAAATGCAATACATGTTCATTACCAAAAACATCAGCAGGTATGGAGAGGCAGTAAGAAGAAAATAAAGAACACCTGCAGGCCATCTACCCGGGCTTATCAGTCTCACTCCCTTGCATATATCCTCCCAAATCCCCTTCCACGAGTGGGGGCAAGTGCACACACGTATGTGTGTATAGTAACATCAAACATGTATGTCACTGGCACCTCCTCTGTGCCAGGCTCTGATTCTAGTACTCACTGTGTAGTAACTGGTTTAATCCTCACAGCAGCTCCTAGGTACTGTACCCTCATCGTTTTACAGTCATGGGGTATGCATAATTTAATACTCTTCTACAATATTCTCCTAGTACTAACCATGCTTAGCCTTGCCTTTTAGCTGAGGATGGCCCTGTGTCCCCCAGGCCCTTGAGAGCAGGGACTAAGGACTGTCCGTTTCCTCCCAACCTTGAGGTGCACCTGATGAAGGTTGTGTTGACCACCTTTTCCCGGTGGAGCCTCTCTGTGCCTTGTGGCTGCTGCTCTGCACCCACAGAGCACCGCAGAAAAGCCCGTGCATGTCCTGTGTAGGGAAGATGTAGGGCCCAGCAGTGAGGAAGAAAAGATGGGGTCTCACATTGGCACTTGGCCCCCGAGGAGGCTGGGGTGCACTGGCCCTCTTTCCGGCCCTGTCTTGCTGCTCTGCAGTTGTCTTCATTGCAGATGGACATCAGGTCATCCCAGAGAACTGACACATTAGCATCTACCTGTGCATTCTTCCACAGACATGCCCAGGTATTCGTCCAGGGCCAGGCCCATGCTGGACCCAGGGGGCCCAAGGTGGGTCAGACAAGGCCCCTGTCCTCCAAAAGTTCAGAATCTGATGGGGAGACAGACACACAAACAGATGACAAAAGCACAGCATGGCCCGTGTTGTGAGGCAGGGCCCACAGGGGGCTGTGGGAAAACAAGGAGCCCTCAGCTGTCCCTGGCTCCGGGAAGGCTCACCAGAGGAGAACCCGAGCAGCAATGGGGGAGGGAGGAGCACGGCAGGCCAAAGACCGGAAGGCTGGGAGGGCAGGGATAGAGGGCTGGGTGGCGTGGCCGGCAGTAGGGGCTCAGGAAGGGGAAGGGATCTCATTGGTAAGCCCTGGGCTCCACTTTATGTCATCTCCTTTAATCCTCACAACAGTTCCGAGAGAGGTGCTATTATGGGGATGCTTCAGAAGGAAAACAAACCACCTGTAGGATGGGCTACACCCTTATGCTCCCTTTCAGCCCCCAGAGTCCATGGTTTCTGTTACACAGACCTCCAAGCTGTAGACTTGAACAAGCAAGGGTGGTTTCCTGCAGGAGGTAGAGAGGGTCACCTAGGTAGATGACCACCGGGAGGAGCAGTGCCATCGGTTCAGGCACGCCCAAGAAAAGGCCCCATGATGGGTGGGTGGGGTCATATCCCCATATACCTGTCCTGTTTCCCAGTACGGTGAGCTGCTCATGCTGGCTGCAGGTACTGGCCTGGCCCCCATGGTGCCCATCCTGCACAGCATCACAGACAATGCGGAAGACGAGACCTTTGTCACCCTGGTTGGCTGCTTCAAGACCTTTGAGAGCATCTACCTGAAAACCTTCCTGCAGGAGCAGGCCCGTTTCTGGAATATCCGCACCTTCTTTGTTCTCAGCCAGGTAAGCGCAGGGTGAGACTGAGACTTTTCACTCCCCTGCACCTGTCCTGAGCCCTGCTGTGGCCTTTGCGCCCATGCTGTGATAGTCCTGTCACTGGTGGAATTGCCACTGTGTGCTTGTCATATTCATCATGCAGATGAGGAAACATGCTCAGAATGGTGGAGGTACCAGTCAGTGTCTGCTGCTTGATGGGGTAAAGCCAGGATTTGAGCCTGGGACTCTGATTCCGGAGCTCTAGCTCTCACCCATCATGCTTTGCTGCCTGCCATCTGCCCTCTGGCATCATCAGTTATATGGGCTGGGTGCTGGGTTGTGGAGTCAGTGGGCCAGGCCACAGAGTCCTTGAAGCTGTGATAAGCTCTTTGAGGCAGGGACCACCTGTCTGGGTCACCACAGTCCCCTCAGTGCTCAGCACAGTGCCAGACACAGAGTAGATGCTCCCTCCATCTGAGTCCACTGCATTCTTAGGGTCTCTACCATGTCACTTTGCCCTGCCTGGGAGGAAAGCTGCTTTCCAACTCTGGGCTGCAGGTACTCTAGCTGGAAGTGACTCTGCCTCTGACCCTCTGCCCTCTGGTTCCCCATCCCCTCATTCACTCAGGCCTTCTGGGCCCCTTCCCCTGAGCCATAGCATGGGGGGGGGCATCATGCCCTTATCTCAAGCCAGGCCCTCAGCTCTCTTTGCTCACCTGCCATCCCCTGGTTGGTAGCTTTATTTCTGTTCCTGCACCCACTGGGTTGGGGTACCCTGCTGGTGCCTCCCTTCATTCTCTGTTGCTCAGAGTCACCCTCATTGCCCTGTACTTTGGACCACCCGGTCCCTGAAGATAAAGACTTGTGTGATCCTCGACATGTGGCTGGGTGGGGGTGTGACTGGGAAGGAGGTATTTCCCTTCCCAGTGCCAAATGTCTGGGGTTCCCCACTGGCCAGAGTCTGCTGGCCTGTCCATGGGACAGAGTCATCGAGAGGCTTATGCTTGGTGAACATTGGTAGCAGCAGCGCCTAGGACAGGGGAATGAGTGTAGCCGAAGTGGGGGTGGGAGTAAGGGAAGGGCCACTGCTACCCAGCAGCACCCTCAGCCCTGCCCAAGGGCCTGGTCAAGGAAGGTGGGAGATGATGGGGCAGGAAGCTGGCACCTGGCAGAGTCACCCGGGCTTCCTTTTCCCCAACCACACGCCAGGTGCCTGATATAAAAATGAAGATGACCTGCCCGGCCGGGCATGGCTCAGCGGTTAAGCGTCGACCTAGGATCCAGGCGATCAGGGTTCGATTCCCGGTCAGGGCACATGCCTGGGTTGTGGGCTGCAGCCGATCAATGACTCTCTCATCATTGATGTTTCTAGCTCTCCCTCTCCCTCTCCTTTCCTCTCTCTGAAATCAATAAAGATA